CAGCCGCAGATACGGAAAAGTGAGCGAGCGCCAGCGGCCTATCATTTTATCTTGATTGCAAACTTTTCTACTGGTGCTCAGCCGTAAGCCACAACGCGGACTGAAATCATCGGGGAGGTCCTAAATGAGACAATGTGACTGTGGCCTGATCCAACGTCGATCAAAAGATCCAATTTTGCGAGCACAGGGCTCGAGACAATCATGGCCGGAACTATCTCCGGAGACATCACGGAAAGCGCGGCCACCGCGGCCGTCACTCTCCGGTTGAACAGGCAAGTACTAGACCTGATAACTTTCTGGCTTTGCTTCCACACATCACATGGCAGGGAGCTTACACCTGCTGCAACTGTTTCTGGGCTTTGGGCCCTTGCGCAAGCAAGTTTGACTTGTCGTGCAACTATTCGCACTTGTCCTTGGCGCAACTGTTGGTCGCAAAGCACATGCACGGTTGCTTTGCTTTCTCGTCCGCGGGCCTCGGAGTCCTCGGCGGAGCCCCTTTGCCTTTCTCTTCGCTGGAGCAGGTGCGACAAGCGCTTCCTGGCTAGTCTGCATGTCACCTTTTTTTGTCTCCTGCCCTACTTGTTTTTGTTTGTGTCCGGCTCAGCAGTCTTATTGGATGTGTTCTGCTTGTCATCCTTGGGCAGAGCCTTCTGAGCAGTTACAATTTGCAACAGAGGTGGGGTTCAAAAGGGGGCAAACGCGGGCCGAAACAATAGGTGACAACACCCTTCACGGTCTAAAGGGCTGCCCTGCTGCCCCGAGTCTGGGCATGCAAGTGAACCAGCGCAAAAGGCCGTGGCTCTGGATGCGGGAATAGTTGCCGTATTTCATCAAAGCGGCCGGGTGCAAGATGTAACTCTGCGCTGTCCTGAGCCGGCAAAGATTTATGCAGCTAGAGTGGCTCAAGCCGTGAAAAGCTTAGTTGCGGCATCGGCAAACATCAATGGTAGGAGAAACGTTTGGTGTGAGTTCTTCGGGTTGACCGCAAAGTTGAGAGGTTCATGATAACTTGCCTTGGTGGGCCGCCATGGTTCCAAGTTGTGAGAGGAGTGACCAAATGCCTGCACTCAGGGGGGGATCATCGGCAATGAGGTCGTTCAGATCTTGATCAACGAGATTTGCGCCAGGCGCTGCCGAAAGGTCCGAGGGATGTTGAGACACAACCCTTCATTTGGAAGCGGGCGAGCGGCAACACCAATGCAAAGGAAACCGGTTGAGTGGTTGCTTGGCAGGAGATGCCTCTGTGCTCTCAGAAATCAAATAACGCAAGCCCAGCAGAGCCAAGCAAGCCCGCGTGGGACCGCCAGAGCCAGGGACTGGTGAGCCAAGAAGGGAGGCGCCGCCGGCTGTTCCACCAATGCCGGGCAATCCCAAAGGTGAGAAAATACAAAGAGAAAAGCAACAAAACCACTGAGGTTGAAGCCAGGCTCACTTGCTAAGTTGGGGGGGCCTCAGATGAACTAGCTCAATGTGATCAGGAATGAAGGAGGCAATCCAATTGACACTGAGGATGATGCGCCTTGGGGAGCCTTGTTTACGGAAAGGTTGGTGGCTGATGCAAATGTGGAGAAGCATGCGTGGACGCATTTCCTGTACTTCGAAGTTTGCTGCAAGGCTGAGAGGGCTCAAAGGGACCATCGCAGTGAGAAAGGGGAAGTTGATCCGGAAGAAACCCCATCGTTGCATCTTGGGAATAGGACGAAAGCAGACCGCGCAATCCGTGGTAGATACCTAACAAGAGGTTCTGGGCGAGCCAGCTTGCCTAGTTTGCCTTAACGATTACAGCAGGCGCGTCTCTGCGGTTTCCTGTATTTAGCCTAGAGAACAACACACGCTAACGTCCATGTGTTGCAGCAGTTCGGTGGTACGAGGGCTCATGGGAGAGCCTTTTGCGCCGTGAAGTCGGTTGCAGCGCCGGAGATCGCCGAAGTCGTGATGTATTTGGGGTGGCTACTTGAGCCGGGCATCGCCAACGACCCTCTTCGTAACCCACAACTAGAGAGGCCAAAAGAAGAATAAAGGATGGGACGAGGGCTGGCTGATTCTATTGAGTACTTTTGTGTTGCAAGGTCGTTGAGTGAGTCTGCGACAACTCATCCAAGCAAAAAGTCAGAAGCTACGAAGAAGACGCAAAACTTGACACTGTTGAGGCAGCCAACTTGTCTTGGTGGACAAAGATGCCAAGGGGTGTGAACAAAAACTCATCTCAGTTCTCGAAAAGATTGTATACTCTGACGGGTAGGGTCATGACTTTTGATGTCAAAACTGTGACTACAGATTGCATCACTGCTTGGAAGCGCAGGGGAAAGACCTCTGAATTCAGCGACAATGGGCACACTGCGTCGCCAAATCGAACAATTTCCTCGAAAAGCAAATTGTTCGACAGGTTGAGCAGTGTTCAAAGCAAAGAGAAACACCAGCCCTCCGCAAGCAAAAGGCGTCCCAGATGGCACGCAGGACCCTGACGAACCCGAAGTATTCAGCGCCATGGTTGCCAAGTTGGCGCTAGCCATGGCGATCCCCAACATAATGCGACCGATATTTGCCATGAAAAGGGCCCTACTCTGTCCGAATTTCGGTGTGACTCGAACTCAGTTTAGGTCAAGGGAGCAGGGGGTGTATAAAAACACACTTCGGATTGATTGAGAAGTGCCTGAAAGAACACAAATCGTTGCTAAAACTGGTGAGGAGCTTCGGAGGATGCACCTCGTGAACCTTGGCCCAGCTGGCAAAATATGGCATTACACCATCATGGAGACGCTTCTTTGGCTCAAGGGGGCCATCCCAATTCTAAATAACTTCATTGGTGAATACCTCAATGCGAATTTGTAAACATCCAAAAGCAGTCAAGCGTAGCGCTCTTGAAGGAACTAAGACAGGCAAGCCCGCGTTCTACATGGAAGCGATGGCCATCACTGGCAAAATCAATCCATTGAAACGAGCTTGGCCCTTCGACGGGGTAGTTCCACGTCAAGAGTCAATGCTCAAGAGAGAACCACTAAAACCCGGAAGGCTGATTGCCATTTGCCAATCAAGCACTTTGAAACCCCAGCGCTTGGAAGCTTCCAAATGCCCCCATTGTCGTTCGTGGCGGCAACATCAGAGACTAACCCAACAACTCGGCAACTTTTTCAAGAAGTAAAGGTAAACCCTCTTGGCCTAGTTGAATCCAACGTTCGCCTTTGCCAGGGAGTCTTGGGCGGAAACGTCGCCGAACGTTCCGGTTGACACTCAGTCGCGACACGAATTGACGCCGGCAGAGCTCAAGCGCATAAAGCGCCCAGTTAAACTGCGCAAGTCATGGAAGAGGGGGCAAGTCATAAACTGCGCAAGTTGCACGATCAAAAGGGTCATGGAAGAGTTAGGGGCTCAACATCTTGATGTGCTTCAATTGTCGTATTACTTCGCAAAGAAAAAGCTCTTTTCGAGCTTGCGCGTGGATGACATGGTGCTCTCAGGCCCAGAGCACGAATGGCCGAAGTTTTGGCGAAGGTTAACAATCAGCTTGAACTTGACCCACCAACATCTGTGGACAGACAGGATCTTGGGTCGAAGGCATTTGCGTAGTAAATCTGAAAATGGGGCCACGATGATGCATGACATGGCTGGCTTTTCTCGAATGCATGTGACCTTTATGTCCATTTGAGTGGGGGGCACTTGAAAGAGGCAGCCACGCCTTTCTTGCCATGGATCTGAATGAAGCTCCTTTGGTGCGCAAGACTTGCCAGACCAGATTCAATAACGCCGCCAATCAATGATTTCACTTCTGTTTTAACTTGCTAAAACAAAGCCGAGGACAAACAGTCGTTTTGGCTTGCGCGCCACACGGCTCCAAGCCTGACTTAGCTCTAGAAAGCCGTGTGGGCGGTAGTCAGGAAGACCTAGTTTTGCATCTCTACGCTGACGCGGATCACGCGCAGAGCGCAAGCGGTGCATTTCTGGCAGTGGAAGCCAACAACATGTTCTGGCCTCCCGCTTGGCAAAGCAAGAAACAAAGATTTTGCAGAACTTGTTTTCGGTAGACCCGCCCGCTTGGTGTGTCACCAAGATAATTCCACGGTTACACACCTTGCCCAGGCAGGCTGTAGAGGCGCGCGAGCCAAACCCACCGGATCAATCTTGCTAGTCTACATCAAAACAGACCATCAAATAGCCGACTTTTTTACGAAAAGTTAACCATCAAATAAGGGCAGCGCGCCAGAGACTTGATGCGCATATGCAAACCAGTGAAGTAAGAAGGGGGAGTTGAAGAATTATGGGCCCAAACAAGAACTCCATGATCGCTGAATTGTAGGTATGCTGCCTTGACGCACTACTTGCGCAACATGTAAGACTTGATCGCCCTCTCACGATGGAAGTGTTCTTGTGAGTCGGTTCGATAAAGCAATCTTGGCTAGGCCAGTTTAGTCTCCATCATGAGCTGTCTTCAATGAATAGCATGTGTCAATCTGGGCATGAAGCATTTGCGCGTTGCGCTGCGCCCAAAACGAATCGCCATGAGCCGGGATCGTGCTGCGAGACCGCCGTTTCACATGTCATGACGCATGTTAAAGACACATTGCCAAATCACTGACTAGGCTCAAGGAAAAGTGAGCGAGCGCCCGCGGCTTGTGGCTTTTCCTGACTGTTTGTGCAAACTTGACTTCGGGCTAGTTTAGTGTCCGTTTTCTTCAGTCCTCTCGCTTAGCATCTGTGTATCCTTGGCGCTGGCCGGGTATCTGGTCAAGTTGCTGCAGGGTTGACTTAGCGCAGGCTTGGACTTGGCTTAGTGTTGGTGGGTATATGTTAGCGCTACGTTTCATTGCTTGATGTTTTTTGTGTCGGCCCTTGAGGTCTTCTTTAGTTTTTTTCTGGTGTCCTCTGATTAGTACTGGTTTAGTGCTGCTTAGTGCTGCTTTTTTAATTACTGGCTCGAATTGGCCTATTCTCAAGTTTTTTAGCATTGGCGACTTTGGGCTCTGGAAACTTTGTTTATTACCTTTGTCATTGGGGGAACCGAGTTCCGGCGCTGCTGTGGTCGCTCGCGCTGCCTCGAAGCCACCAAGAGTTGCGCTCGCAGAGGGCTTGCAGTCAGCGAGAGAGGGTGCCGTGTTGCGCCAAATCACGGTTTGGATTTTTCCTGAACGCGCAGGGCCCTGGCTGGCGGTAGTATTTTGGCTCCTTCCACCCTGAATCCGCCCACACCTTCCCGCCCAAGTCTCCACACCCTGGTGGCAAATTGGCGCTAGCTGCAAGGGTTTCACGCTGTTTCATGTTCACGCGCCAAGACTAAGCGGGTAGTAGCTCGCGGCGGAGTGCTTACAGCCAATGTCGAAACGGGCAACAGCTTGCGCTGCGCGCTTAAAACTCAGACAAGGGGAAGACGCGTGCAGCGCTGCACTTGTAAGAAGTGAAAGCAACAGGCAGGGGCTTTGAGTGCGTTGAGCTAAGGCGAAGCAGCCAGCCACCCAGCGTTCTCAAGAAGCCAACTCTGCTGCGCGAGGAGGCAGGACCGTTTCCAAAGAAAGGCACCGCGGGGCAGTTGTCTGGTTGTGCTGTGGCAAGCTCAGTTCTTGTTCCACTCCGGAACACGCTTGCAACCAGGTTGTGAAATTTATCAGTGTTTAACACTCCTGCGCGAAGCTCTGAAGCTTTGCTCAGGATGCGAAGAGCCAAGGACCTCCGGCACGGGTCCGGAAGTCAGGGCTTGCTGCGTGGCACGCATGACTACAGTTGCCGGCGGCCGATGGCCGACAGCAGCAGTTGCCTTGAACACAGTTGGTTTCCAAAGACTTACCAATTGCTTGCGAGGACAGCTTAGCGCGGCAGGAACTCCGTTGCGGCTGCTTCTGCCTAAGCGCCTCGCGGATTTCCTGGTTCCAGGCATGGGTTTCCGCGTGGGCCGAAAGTGTATGATTTCTGACGCGCTACGTTTTCTCTTGTAAAGCATCCTTGAGAAGAAATGTCACAGCAGAGCGACGACTGCTTGGCAGCTGATGGGCTACGGAACGAATCCATTTTTTACGCAGGGCACTTATAGACTCAGGCGTGTCAACAGTCGCTCTTCTTTGTTTCTGCTGCTCCCAACAGAAGCCAGGGTAGCAAGGCTGCTTCATGCGATTATGTCTGCGCATTCAGCCTGTAGTCAAGAGAAGGGTAGAGCTTGCTGTAAGAAGATTTGTTTCGTAAATATGTGCGAACGATAGAAGTTAGCATCATTTAGTATCATTCCAACTACTGCTCGTTTATTTTCCACACCACGAATCATTCTTCCTCAAACTGATGGAATGTGTAGCCGGATCCGCCGAGACCACTTGGCAGCAGTGGCGCGCCGCTGCGCCGTGCGCATCGACGTAGCGCCATCGGACGGCGGATGCCAGGCGTGATTTGTTGTTCAGTGTCGACGATCTCGAAATCTCAGGTGACAAGCCGAACAACCAAGAAGACTTTTTTGGAGTTCCTTCTTCGGTATGAGCAGCGCGAAATGACGTGATGCAGCCGTAGCCTGTCATCGTTGTGGCTTTGCGCGCCGGGCAAGGGGGTATGGGCGTGATGCCGTTGCAAATGTGTCCAGGGCAAAATGCAACAGAGCACTTTCTACATCGATACGACCACCGCCCCTGACTTAATCCAGCCGACCCAGTCAGCGGGCGCAGCCTTGTCTTCGATGCTTGAAGTGGCTTGCTTCAAAGTCAGGCGGGGCCCGGCGCGTGGAATTCAGCACGGAGTGCCGCCGTTTCTTAATTTGTTGCGAACATTGAGTTATGAAAACGGGGCCCGGCGCTGTCCCAAAGTGTGTCCCCTTTCCACGTGAACCAGAACCAATGTGGGCCACATGAGCTTTGGGAAGTGCGACCCGGGTGTGAAATTGCTTTCTCTGGCGACCCACGCCGGAACATTCTTTTGCGTGCCTTTTAAACTTGGCGCCATCCCCAAACCCAGAAACTAAAACATGAAAGTCCGCAGGTCCGTCAACTCATGCAGACCAGGTGGTCCTTTCGGCCGGCCCCACGCCGAGTATGTCACTCGTGCGAGCGGGCTGCTCCTGAGCGGCCGCCGACGCGGCTATATACTGATCAGCAAGGCACCACGCCTCAAACTGGAAACGTGGTTGGTTAAACTCAATCACTGACAGCCATCGATCACCATGACTTCGCAGAAAACCAGGGCAAATTGCCTGTGCTGAAGCTTGCGCAAGTGAAAACGCAAGCGTTTGCACGACGCACAGGCGTCAAGAGCGCCTCTGCCGCTTCGTGTCCTCAGCGCAGTCGCACAGCCAAAACCCACCTGCCCACCGCTCCCCGACAACGTGCTTTCAATTTTTCACACAAAAACAGAGACACGCACGCGCACATAATTACACACGTATGCGCATACATACAGACATTCACACGTACAATCATGCATGCACACAGACCTACATACACACACACACACACGTACACACATGCGTACATACACATACGTACGTACGTACGTACATCACACACATGCATGCACGCACGCACGCATGCATGCATGCATGCATGCATACTTGCACACATACATACATACGTACATACAAACACACAGACAGACAGACAAACAGACAAACAGACAGACCGACGGACAGACGGACAGACAGACAGACAAGAGGACAGGGAGAAAGGAAAGATAAGAGAGAGAATCGAACAAAGAGAGAGAGAGAAGAGCGAGAAGAAAGAGAAGAGAAAGGAGAGAAATAAGTGGAAAGAAGAGAAGAGAAGAAAAGAGAAGAGAAGAAAGTTGCAAGAATAAAAAGCAACATGAACGAAGAAGAGAAGAGATGAGAGAATATAGATAAGCAAGCCGAGAAATGGAAGAGTGGGAGTGGCGACCAGGCGAACGCCGACTTCAATGAGCCAGGACCTGGCCATGAGAGCGGGCGCCTGAAAAGGGTGCAACGCGCGTCCCGGGAAGTTTTTTTCCCAGACTATAGCGGTCTTCTCGAAACGATCGAAAACATCAGTTCCACCTTCGCTCTCCTCGCACGGCCATTAACGGTCATTGTGCAGCTTCTTCAAATCTTCATGATTGTCTGAGGCCAGGTTGATTCCCAGTGACATTCTTTCAGAGCACGCCAATGTTTGAAGCTGACATTTTATCTTCCCAAGAGCAAATAGCAATAGAGCAAGTTTGGGCCTCAGTGGCCTGATTGTGCGAAATGAGGCTTCCGTTTGCTCAAGCCGCAGAGGCTAATAGAGAGCTGCTCAAGCGGACCAGTTTGGTTCTCAGACTTGACGCTGCCTAACTGGAGGCTGTTATGAAAGTGAAGGCAGACACATTTTTCAGGGACGCCCGTCAGCCCAAACAGTTTTTCGGCAAGAAAGGACGCGGACAGTCTGGCTGAGACAACTGCAGGTTCCCCGCTACTTGGTCAAGCGTCGGCCCACTACGCTCGCCTCGCAGCATTCAATCCCGGCGCCGGACGTGGAGAAAATGACAGGACTCTTCACTTTGGGTCAAACCCATCAAAGTTGAGACGGATTTGTTCAGCATCCTCAGCAGTTTCCAATAATGAGGCCACTGAGGCCCAAACTGACCTCCAGCCAAAAAGGCCCGTGACTTGTTCAGCCTCCACCTCCACTTTCAGATAGGCTCTCACAGCTTCATTTTTTAGCAATCAAGCCATTGAGGCCCAAGCTGGTTCTTCAGCAGGTCTCTAAGAAGCCCATGACTTCCTCAACCTCCGTGGCTCGAGCAAACGGAAGGCTCTTACAGCTTCATTTTGAGCAATCAGGCCAGCGATTGCTTTACAGCTTGTTATTTGCTCTTGAAAAGATAAACACCCGCTTCAACCATTGGCATGCTCTGGAAGAATGGCACTGCGAATCAATCTAATCATGAAGATGTCCTCGGCTGTTGCAGCGCGTGTCGTGAGGGATTGTCTTCAGAAGCCTTTTCCAGCGGTCTGGAAGATGCCTTCTTTGCCGTTTTCAGCGACAGCCGCTTTCATTGGCCAGACTCCAGTTCCACCCTCTTCGCGTTCAAAGAAAGGCGCCGCGCCTTGGGAGGGCGCAGGCCCTTTTTTCGCAGGCGCCACTTGTACCCCGCAATGCTCCCAAAGCTGACGTGGCCCACATTGGTTCTAGTTCACGTGGCGCACGCCGTGACCAAAGAAAGGGGCTACGTTGGAAAGTGGGCCCTTTTTTTCTCTCGGGCCTCCTTCGTACCGCAATGACACGGCGGCACGCCGTGCTGAATTCCACGCTGGGCTCTGCCTGGCCTTGAAGCCAGCCACTTCAAGCATCGAAGACCAGGCTGCGCTCGCTGACTGAGTTGGCTAGGTTAAATCAAGGGTCCAGTGGCGGTCGTATCGATGTAGACAGTTTTCTGCTGCAGCTTGCCCTGGACACATTTGCAACAGCATCACACCCATGCAAGAGGAACCGAAAACCTGTGACGCTCGCTCGCGCCATCGTAGCTCTTGCCAGCCAAGACTCAAGCCAAAAGGACAACGGCCGGCGCGCTAAGCCACAACGCTGACAGGCTACGGCTGTGCTCGCAACGAAGAAGAAGGAACTCCAAAACATATTGTCCTTTCTGCTTGTTTGACTTGTCGTCTGAGATTTCTAGATCGTCAGCAATTAGCAAAAGGGCATGCGGCTTAAAAACCAGGGCCAGTCTCAGGTACCGACACGATTTACGAAGAAAACAAACCAGCTAATCGGCAGGTCAAACGGTTGAGTCGCAAGTTGCCAGAGACAGTACCCAAGTGCGTTTGCGACACGCCTATGTCTCTCCTTTTCTCCGAAACGCAGCCAATTTGCAATCGGCCAGAAGATAGTTGGCTGTTCGTGGCTGTGACTTGAACTCCGCAATCACACAGAGATTGGGTAATAGGATTTGTTACCCCCGCACGATCGGAGCCACAATTCGGGTAGGGTTAAATGAAACTCGATTAGCAAATGCACATTTCAAGGGGCATGGTTTTGTCAAACGCTGGGACAAAAACAGATAGTCTTTACGAATCTGAAACGGCGACAGCCAGAAACAAATCAATTGTTAAAGGGGCTCAACAAATGTAGCCCGTACTAAACGTAGTACTGCAAAGTAGTATATGAAAAAGTACATAATTGTAGGTTCCCAGCGCTACATTCAACATTGCCAAAAGAAGAAATCGTGTCGCCAATAGTTGATCTTAGACCCCACTAGCGAACTCAGTTGCGCCTTGTTACCGGCCCAGGCGTGCACCCCCAATGGCGCTCAGTCCCCGCCCGTCGCACGCCCCCAAAAAGCATTCAGTGTTCGTTCTATGAAGCGGGTCCGCCAACAAAGTTCTTAAAACTGCCAGCAACTGCCCCGGATCACTAGGGTCCCTCATTGCAAGCACTCGATCTTAACATTCCACAACTGAGTTCAACATCGCCAACACTTAGTCTTGAATCCTAAAATTAAATCCAGGAATCAAATTCAGGGTTGACAACACGCTTTTTAGCGAAACTTGACCTTCCATTCCGGATATTTTCGGTGCTGCCAACACTCAGTTGAGTGTTGCCAACACCAAATTTAGTGCGGCCAGCCATGTGTTGCAAGTCTCACACGCGCGCTAGGCACTTGTCTCAAGGCCTCGGATGAGCGTCGCGGGCCATTGTGTTGATTGAGTTCGTGTCGTTGGAGAAAGAGACATCGGCAGCGGCCCTTTTTACCTTTGTGCTGGTTTTTGAACTTCTTGCGGTTGCATTGGTTGCTGGCGCGTAGGAGCCCTGAGCGCTTGGGACTGGGGATTGGTTCACTTTGGTGTGGCTTGTCCCCCAAGCCAACCGATTGAGACCTCAGCTCCCACAAGAGGCAAGAGTGCACGCGACTCTGAGGCGCGCGAGAGAGTGAGGGTTTGGAAGATCCAGCTCAAGGCAACAGAGTTTCTGTTGTATAGGGCTTTGGCGCCCTACAGACAGAACGCGTGGGCCCGGATTGCCAGTTGCTTTGGCCCGCCGCAAGCGAACGAGAACACCCGCGCGCAACGGGTCATCCCGTATGCTAGGCTCAGCGTTAAGGGCATCTGCGTCTACCCTGAGCGCCCTCAGGCGGATGCTGATGCGGGCCTTCAGTACTTCAATCCGTACAGTGAGCGCAAGCCTCATCGTAGTGCGGGCGACGTGTCTGAGAACATCCTGCTGATGATGGACTATGTCCCCGGTTACGGGGACGAGGCCGCGTGCGATGGTCAAAGCGCCTGTTGCGGGTGCCATCCTGCGCATCTTTCTGGACAAGATGGCGCGCGACGCTCGTTGCTAGGGCTCAACATCTGAAGGTTTCCGCAGACCCGATGGCGGGAGGGAGGCCGATCGAGATTCTATGCGCGACGAACACTCATCAGTTCAAGGGCGGGAGGGCGGTGGGACCTTGCCGTCATGGTTGG